TCCCCGCTTTCAGGTGTCCCAGGGCATCCTCACGGATTTTGAAAGCTGAAGTTGCCAGTATTTGGAGAAACGCAAAAAAAACAGAGCAATTTAAAAAAAAAAAATCAAACGAGATTTTAAGGAAATTTTCAAGTGCACCTCTGTTTTTCAGGACCTGTTAGTTGTTTTTAAAACCTCCCCAAAGGTGCCGACTGCAGAGGCTGGGTGCCTTCGAAGTGAAACTGCTTTTAGAGTGAGATTTAAACGGGTAAATATTTGATCCTTATCCCTGACTAATTTTCCCTGCATTGAGAGAGATATTGAAAAAAAGATGGGAGAGCAAAACAGCAATTCCACTGGAAGACCCTAAAGGAATTACTGTCTGGCAGGAGCTGAAAAGTAACAACCTGAACAAGAACAGCTAATTAGCCCCGCGCTCGAGATGCCGGGTGCCTCCGATCCCATTGGCAGATCAAGTGCTGCGATGGGCCCAAATGAGCTAATCCCTGGAAGGGAGCCATCTCTTCCCAGGAAAGGAGAACAGGATCTTATGGGATGCAGGAGGGAGCTGTGGGGCTTCGAGGGGTCAGTGTTTTCCCCACAGAGAGTTGTGGGTCGAGAGATGTACTGCTGCTTCTCCCGGTGGTGGGGCTCCTCTACGCACAGGAGCCACAAGCTTTCAGGGAAAACATGAGTAGTTATGGCTGAGAAAAGTGCTGGCACAGTGTGTCAACTGCCCAGAAACAAATTTGGGCTCGAAATCATGTTTTCCAGCAGGTTCTGGAAAAACCTGTCTCCAAGAGATATTTAGGAAAGAAAGAACGTAGCTTGTGGCTAGGGGTGCAGGACGTGGTTGCCACCATCCAGCAGCAGATGGCTGTGGTGGAGGGCAGTGTCCCCATGGGCCAGTCACTGACCCAACAGCTGCCTCCGGGGCACATCACAAACAGCCAAACCCTTCCCTTCATCTGCCAGACCTGGTTCGACTCCCAAAGCCCTCAGTTTCCTCATCCTACAGCACCAAGATGTTTCTGCACGGGTCTGGGAAGAGTCAGGACCCTCTCACTGAGCACAACACCCAGCCCCCTCCACCACCAGTGGGATCTGCTGTCCTCTAGCAGGGCCCTCGTGGGGAAGGACACAGAGAAACAACCCCCAGCTATTTTGTGTTTGGGATAATTATAGTATCAGAGGCTGAACCAACAGGTTCTTTAGCAAGGAGATTCCCCACAGCTTGCAAGATACAGATATCAAAATACCCCACAGATTCACAGCTCAGGTTTCAGGTGACTCAGAACAATATTGTGCCGTATAATAATTTCATGTAATTCCTTGTTCAAGCTGAAGAACTCAATTGATAATGACTGACTATAAAAGTTAATAGCAGGCTACATTAAAAGCTTTCAGGATTATCTCTAGGCAACTGCAACAATATATTACGAGTAGGAGAACCATCACCAGCCCTTGGGCTTCACGGGTGGTTTCCTGTAGGCCCCATTTTCTGACCTGAACCCAACTGGAGACCAGCACAGTGGGGTGTCTCACCCCATCCCGGGGGCAGCACAAATCCAGAAGCCAACATGGTGGGGGAGGCTCCGGACCCCCCATGGGCAGCCACTGCCGGGTCCACAACAACCAGAGGGACAACCCCAGAGCCCTCCTCCCTGTTTCATTTCAACAGTGGAGCAAGGAGATGTGGTTACCCCCATCCCACCACCCGTTCCCAAAGGTGCTGCACCGTGTGTTGAGTCCACTCACCATGATCAGTTGGCCATCCTGAAGTCCCAGCAGCTCCCACTCGCCGTCTGGTGCTGCTGTCCTGGGGTCCCCAGTGGGGCAGTGGTCTGGTGGGACTGCAGGTGTCCCCCACACTGGCTGTCCTGGCTCTGTCACCGAGGTACGGCGGGGGGTTCAGCTGAGGTGACTTGCCCAAGGGCACCAAGGAGAAAAGGGTGGTGGAGCTCCTCACTCAAGCCTGAGCAGCTTCACAGCAGGGAGTTGAAAGAGCAGGATGTAAATCAGGAATGACTAATTGCTCTCAGCATGGCTGCCCTAAACCTCTCTCTTCCACGGGCTCCTTGGCCACCGGGACGGAGCAGAGCAGCGCAGGGGCTGCTGATGGCTGGGACAGCCCAGGCACCAGATATTAGCCCCACCACACACACTTGGGCACAGCCTCCCATTTCCCTCCAAACAGGGTATTCCTGCCCAAAAATCAATTACAGAGGGTGTCAAATAAATAAATACCTGCTGCTGCCTGTGTTGGGAGAAGCTGGGCATCGGGAGCAGAGCAAGCACCAGGCAAGGTGAAAGCAGCAAACTTGTGCTTTGCCATCTCTACAGTTATAGCCCCAAAGCTTTTAGTGCCTTGAGAGAACCCAGGTGAGCAGCATCACCCGGAGCAGGCAGGAACCCATTATTTAGTGAGAACATATTCCCAGGATGTGCCTGGCTTAGCAGACCTAAAGACTGAAATAGTAAGTTAGTGCATATAGATCATCATTTACTGAAGCACAAGCCCTGATGCACCTTTCTAGGGAAGCTCTAATTTATTATGCATTGTCATTAGCTGCAGCAGGCAGCAGGGCCTTCATTAGAGCTAGAGTTAAGGTCTGTTTTGGCTGCCTCATCAGCATCAGTGAACTGCGTCCCTGCGAGGTTTGATACAATTTAATTAACCTAATTAAAAGCTCTGATTGCAGAGATGATTGGGGTAGAGCCAGCAGCAACTGCATATTTATAACGAGCTGGAAGGTGTGGGACTGGAGCCAAATGATATGCATCTCTAATGAGCTGGTGCTATTGAAGTGTGGATTTGGAACACTAACATTTATTTTTGGCAACAATGGCCAGTTTATCTTCGTGATAGAAACGATCAGGGCTCGATCACATGGAGCAGGGAGCTCGGCGCTGTGCTCCCTGGGCTCCTCCAGCCTGGTGGCAGCCCCACACCATCACCCCACAGCCCAGCTGCTCCCCCAGGGCACTGCCAGCACCCCCACAACGGGCAGACACAGCACCCCCCACCCCACACCTCTTTCTCACACACCTACCTGCAAGATGCACACGCAGCATGCACAAGCCCACACCACGTGCTGGTAGCCCCAGATAAACCAGGTAGAAGATGCCAACAGGCTTCCCTTCCCCTGCCAACTCCTCCTTCCAGCCCTTCCATACCACTGCCACCCTCTCCAGACCCTCCAGCCCTATGGCCAGACAGGGTTGGGCTCCTGGGGCAAGGAACCTGCCTCCGTTACTCCTGCAGGCATCAAATACCCCATGTCCCTGGTCTTCTGTAGAGCACCATGCACCAGATAACAAAAAGCAGCCTGGAGTGGAGACCTTCTACCTACCCCCCTGCAGGGGCTTTAAAGCTTCTGCTGTCCTGGCCAATTGGGTTGGGTAAGCACCAACACCTGCCCCTGGTCCACCCACCACCGCAGGAGCCTTTTCTCCTCCTGCTTAAAGAGCAAGGGGCTGTCAGACCTTACAGCTTGGTGCTCTGCAGGTGGGCTGTGTCAGAACGTGGGGGCTCTGCTCAGGACACCCTTCTTTCTGGGCTGCAGCTGTGCTTGGTGGAGGAGACGGCAGTGACCTTTCTCTTTCCACGTTTAAAGGCTACAAACCCTGCTCAGAGCTGGGGCAAGACGTGCCATCAACTCTTATGCCCCAGGATCCGCAGGGATGTGCTGGCACAGGGCCCGGAGCTGTGCCCACGCTGGCTCTGATGTTGGCAGCTC